TGCTGTAGATGTAAGATGCTTTTTGCCCAAATTATATTCTTTTTATACCACAGAAGTTTTTGGCCATGATACCCGCATGGGATTTACAAAGGGTGAGAAATTCTGTTCTATCAAGATTTTGATTGCCTGAAATATTTCGTAATTATTCTTCCTTCAATCACGGATATAAGAAGTAGAAATGGAACCTTAATACTAAGAACCGTTCCAAAGAACGATTTTCAGGAAAAGACGTATTTCAAGCGCCTGCTTCAGATATGCTCTATTGAAGAATCTGATTCCTGGATGGAGATGGGGAAGGGAATTTTTTTTTAAGAAATACCTATCGGAGTTTCTGGAAAAAAAAAGGGGGGATAGAAATATACCGCTGTGTAACGAGAATTGTAACTGGCTACATCATTTGTACATCATTTCTAGCTAAAAGAAAGAAATATTAAATCACACAAACTATGCAAGACTGTTTAAATTGCAATATTTGCTGCATGATTCACTAGTATTTATGGTACTTAGCAAATATTATTCCTGCTTTATACTACTACTAATTAAAAACCTTTAAGAGCAAAGTTATAAAACTGTAAAGCTTTAATATGTGTATAATTTTTTATAAACTTAAGGTATAAGGTATTTCTCTCATTTTTTTAGCGTGTCTTCGTGGTGTAGTGGTTTGCACACTGGGCCGGTATTCCAGAGGTCCGTGGTTCGATTCCCGGTGAAGGAGAATGCTAATTTTTCATCTCTCTGGCTTTTCTAAAAACATCCTAATGTCTCTACAGTGGCGCTTGAACTAAAATGGTGGTGGATGATGATTTCTCCCCACCCAGGATTTAACAATAGGGTCCCGTAAAAACCTCAGTCACACCTTAAAAAGGGAAAATATATAAGGTATTTCTCCCGCTTTGCTAGCGTGCCTTCGTGGTGTAGTGGATTGCATACTAAAAACCGGTATTCCAGAGGTCTGTGGTTCGATTCCCGGCGAAGACTGTTACTAATCTTTCATCTCTCCGGCTTTTCTAAAAAAAAATCCTAATGTCTCTACAAAGGTATCTTCCTTAATAAGAAAAAAACTATATTTTTCTGATAGAAACCCTTTAATACCCTTGTCCCTTGTTTTATATAGCTTGAAAATTACAATTTTGTGTCTCTTTTTCATATTATGCTTTGCATTATAATAATAAAATACCTTACACAGTTTTATATGTAATACGCATTTATAACTACATAAGCAAATTCTAACTTTTGTTAAATTACAAGCATTTAATAAAACACACAGTCAGCATTTCAGTATTTGACACCATTACAAAAATAAAGTAATATATAATTAACAAATTCAGTAATGTTCTGATCTTATTCTCATTTTTTAGTGTGTTGAATGTCACAGAAACCAGCTTAATAAAATGGTGTATTACTTGGTTTTTCTTGAAATTAAATGTAAACATACTTAGAACATATTCACAGCATTTCCAAAAACTATAGAAACTATCGTTTGCAGAGGGCTTTTATATGGAAAATGTGTCTACCAGTGGCAAAATGTGTAAAACTTTTGGACACTCATAATTTTACGCAAGTTCAACTCCAAATGAACTAGCTTTCAGTCTTACGGATTTCTTCGTGAATAACGTGATTTTAAAGGTACTTAAATCCTTTAAAATTCTTCCTTAAAAATACTCTCAAGAAGGCATTCTCCATTTACATTATTATGCCTTGCGAATTTTAGCTCAATCAGTTAACCAACCAGCCAATTCTTAGAAAGTAATTCTCGAAAGTTCAGGCTGGACTGGACAGGTAGGTACTGTTTCGCAATACTGCTCATAGAGTTAATCCTGTTATAGCTGTGTGCTATCTTTCCAAAACATGTTCATGCAATTGTTATTTTGAAGGAAACGCGTACTAAGATATGCATACTACTAATTTATTACATAAAAATTACTGCTCAGAAATCGTTTGGTCTTTCGCCACAAAATCCGTCTCAATATTAGTGATTTTAGAGCAAAATTTCGGAATGTTTATAAAATACCTTCGATACTCGAAAATAATAGTCGTTGAAAATAATAGTCGTGCACCTCATGGTGTGCACACCATTGTGTTGGTCTAACACCATTTTGTTAATGGGTATGAGAGGAGGTTATGTTTCTCTTTTACCGCAAACACAGTTTCCTGAGCAAGAGATAATTTTCTCATAATGGCCGTCTTCATATATGAACTGGTTTAAACGACACATCTTTTTCCGGTGTTATATTAATTAATTTGCATGTCATTCTTCTTTGGGGTACATTCTGTGCCCAAGATAGAAGTACATATGAATTGATTGATGCAGAACGAACTCCGAAAGAAGCATTCAAAATAAGTCATTGTCCAAAAGAAGCACTAGAACATTTTTCCAAATTTGACATATTTAAATACTTCTTTCTTTTAGATTAGATTTTGGCCATTTTATTCTCAAAACTTCCAAATCAGATGTAGTGGCTGCATCTAGCCTTCGTGTGCTCCGTCATTTACTTGTATAAAGGCTACCAGAAAATTCTCCCCGAAGGCCTCTTATCTTAGGCAGATAGCCCTATGGTAATATGGTATGTTCTTTCAACTTAAGAATCATATCAAGTTTAGGTCATAACAGTTCAGACTACTAACATAAAATTTAGCACCTGTATAGATAAGCAAATCTTAATTATATTCTGCAGTTCTTTTAACATTTTACCCAATCACAATGAGTGATAAGATCTGAAGACTATAGTGAGTAAATATAGTGCATACAGCAAATAAAGTAACATTGATACAAAATTTTTCTGGCTCTGGTATGAGTGCAAGCTTGATATATTCTCCTCATGTTATGGAAATAAATTATCAGAAAAAAAAAATTGGGAGCATATCAAAGCATGCCATAAATCCCCCAGAAGTTTATTTGGTGATATTGGAATGCTGGAGATTCTATCATGCTGATCGATAACTTTGTCCAGTTACTCAGAAATTCTGCAGAAATCGCATCCAATTGCTATGTCGTTGTATTGCTAATTAAACATTTTTAATGCCAGACTCAGCATTTTTTCCCACATAATTTAGCAAGAAATATTTCAAAATTATGTATTACTAGGAAAAAGTGCAAATTGCATATTTTTGCAGTAAAATTCATTTATTTGCATTTGAAATCGCAGAACTCCATAGAAAGAGTTAATGCTTTAAATTTTAGATTTTCTAGCCAGTGATTTTCGTAACGGCCTGTTAAGATTTTCCTTAATGATATGGATTTTATTCAGCTCTAATTTATTCAGTGATATTAATTATTATCTTCACTTCTTTAACTACAGTTACCTGGAAATACCGCTAATTTCACACTTAGAAGATGATGCTTCATTATCGGTGTGTAAATCAAAATTAATGATTGCTAAGCAAATTTTGTGTTTATAAATTAGTGTTTCAGATATTTAATTTCCTTTTCCTTTTGTTGCATTGATAATCAAAGGCAAGGAAAAGACAAGCGTTTAAAAGAGGGAAATTCTGAAAGGAATGGGTCAGTCATTCAGAAGATCAATCAAATAATATATCAGTAATAAAAAAATGTAAATATTAATCAAAGCTAATCAAACTGTATGAAATAGTTTAATCTGTCTACATTAAGAATTAATTTAAACTTTAATACTTATTATGTGTTCTGATATATTCAATCTTTATTTACACTATATGTAATAAAAAAACAAATATCTCGGAAAGGAAAATTTTCCTTAAACTAAACGCAGTTATTAATCAGCGTAAACTTGCAGTTATTATTTTAATAACCACCTTAATCATATCTTTCCTATATCTATACTAAATACATTTCCTCTTTTGATAGTAAAATGAGGTAAAATTTTCGTATAAGAAAAAATCAAATTCATTTTAAAAATATGAAATATTATACTTAATTTTATTAGATAATGTGTTAATTAGTTAATTACATTTTTAACAATAAATCGCAGAAGCATAAGTTGCTTTATAAAATGAAACACAGAGACTTCGTTTACTCATGTTACAGCCATAGAAACTCAACGCTTACATGATTTCTTTGCTTCATATACGAATTAACTCGATAGCAATTTCACTTGAACTTCATCTCTGGAATTCTCTCAGTTTCAGCTGAGCTCCATCTTTGAACCAAATCTTTCAGTCGAACTCGAACTTTGAACTAGAGTTTAAATAAGCTCAGCATTTTTGTTTAAAACGTTTTTCTGGCATATGGTGGTAAAGACTTGATTATTCAATATGACTTTCTGTCTTAAATCCCACAAGTTATTAATTATGTTGAAGCTGCATTTGCTTCACTTTATTTCATGCAATTAATTATACAACTTCCCTAAGTATTTTTTCTACTCAGCGGCCCACCACAGTTTTAACTACAAAAGCAGTTTCGTTTCAGCCCTCTTTTATCGAGCAGACGTCTTTGAAGCGTGGTTATTATAAATGCGGAAACATTTAAAGAAGCAACTAGGGATTTTTAGCACTGTCGAAAAAAACATAAAAAGTAGCTTGAGTGGGGCACATTTGGATCGTGCACTTTTCAGCATTTTAACTTAATGTAATGCTCAAACGTCTTTTCTCCAGACAATGAATGAAACAGGGAAATGAGCATTGCGAAAAGGCATGATGTTCAACAATTTATTTTGCTAACTGAAATTATTCAATTAAATTAAATTAAATTTATTAAATGAAATTTCTTTTAATAGTCTAAAAGACCTCTTTCTTCGCTGCAAACAATGATCATACTTAAAAACTGTCGGAACTGATAATTGTATAACATTTAACCTAAAAATTTGACCACTCTCGGCAAGATTTGTGAAGCCAGCATCTGATGTGAACGCTCTAGGCCCATTCTCGAAGTTAAAAGCAGCGGACAGAAAATTGTTTTCAGTTTCTTCTGTTTTCTTTTGTAAGGAAAGATAATAGTACTACTTCCATTAAATAATGATTAGGAGTTTAAAGAACCAGGAAAGAAATGAGACTTTAATGAACAGGCGAATCAGGAGAGAAGTCGTTAGTCAGACTTTCCCGCTTTTTTTTAATCTCTCGTAACATCTGTAAGGTTGTAAATATACTCACAATGTAAGTAAAATTTCCAAATTTTGTTGAAATTCAGCATTTCTTTAGCTATGCTTTGAGAATTTACCATATTCCTGAAAAAAAAAAAAATATTCCAAAATCATAGCAGTAAGCGATGTTTTTAAAGGTGTTGGAGTATTATGAAAGGCCTTTTAAAAGACAGTGCGTAGATCCACGGAAAAAAAAAAATAATAATTATATTTTGTTTGTGATATCTAATAATGGTGAAAGAATTATATGCACGGCAAAAACAAGAAAGAACATTTCAATATTTTCATTCCAGTAAGCCGATGGATAAAACTTAACTTGTAGTTGTCATCTTTCAAAAGCGCGATTTAAGATACACTCAAATTTCTCTATCGTTTACACTTACCCTGAATTTTATGACACAAAATTAAATCTTTTCTTAGACGTTCTAAAATGGAAACCTTTTTTAAAAAAAATGTGAGTTACACGTGGCGTATAAAAATAAAAAATGTTTTATAAATATTGCAATGAGGTTTGCAGGTATTCGCGTTTGAAATTTGATGCTAAATTTGAAAAAACACAACAAATATTCACTTAATTTTTAAATTATGTTCATCTAGACTTTGAGGGTTAATAACTTTACATTTTAATCAAAATGGATGTGTATTTTAAAAAACAAAATTTTTTGTAATCTACACATTTTATAGAATAATTAATGTGTCACAGATATAGATACAAAAAACGTTTCTTTGAAATATGATTCATTTGAGAATAATTTTTGGCATCATAGATGCAAAAAGACGTTTCTTTAAAATGTAATTCATTTGAGAATAATATTTGGTATCATAGATGCAAAAATACGTTTCTTTAAAATGTTATTCATTTGAGAATAATATTTGACATCATACTTACAAAAATATATTTCTTTCAAATGTTATTCATTTGAGAATATTATTTGATATAATTGATACAACACATCATTTCTTTAAAATGTGAATCATTTGAGAATAATATTTCATATTATAGACAAAAAAGATGTTTCTTTAAAACGTGATTCATTAAAGAATAATATTTAATGCTTAATCTCAAAGTTATGTTAAAATAGAGTTTTACGTTAAAATAGTTTTTAAACAAATGACGTTTATACCTAACCTTCCAGATCTGAGAATAACCAAATCAGGCTCACGAATTCATGATCAACAAGAGTAAAAGAAATGTGACCATCTTTATGGCAAGGCTTTGGACACCTTACCGGAAAGAATCTCAGCTTGCCTACCTCCATTTCAGTTTTATTCAAGAACAACCCACGAAACGAATCCAAGCGTCCCCAACCCTTCTTCCACTACAATCAGACTTTTCAAGAGGACTTTTGGCTAGATGACATTTGAAATGTCTCTATATCGAAAAGACACTATCTTTTACAAAATCTGTGCGTCCATGCCCAACGATGTTGCAGTTAGCACCGTTAACAACTATACCGAAGAGGGCAGCAAACAAGTAAGCGTAGCTATCACATTTCAGAGAACATTTTCTGTAAAATTTATGTCTGGAATTTTGCTGAATTAATATTCTTAAATAGGGCTTAAATTTATCCATCTTTAGAAAAAAGGAAATAACTCCGAAATAATTTTCTGTCTCTTTCACAAGGATCAGCTTCCAAAAACAAATAATTTTTAAAAGTGACAGGTATTTATGATAAATCAGTTAAAAATAATTATCTTGAAATTTGAATCAGATCCATATCGAACACTTTGAAGATACAGAATTTAATTTTTTGGATACAGAATTGGATTTAATTTTTCGATTTGGATACAGAATTTAATTTTTGGAAATTAAAAGTGTAAGAAATCGTGAAACAGCTCAGTTTCCTTCTATCGGATCATTATACTAAATCTTTAATTTCAATATTAAATATAATTAAAATTTAGTTTATAATTTTATTTTTGAATATCCTGCTCTCTCTCCCGTCCCTTATTTCCCATAAAATTTGTATTGACTGAAGCATTATTATTACAACTTCAACAAAGCTAAAAGAAGATGTATGCAAACAGAGGCTTGTACATTGCATACTGGTTAAAATTTTTGTTATCACTATTAAATTTCATTTTAGATATTTAAAATATTGAATACAAAGGTAAAGTTAGGCATTTGGCAGTTCATGTATGTGTAGGACTTAACGTTAAGTATTAGAAATAATTGCGCATGCATTAGAAATGAGTATCCTTTGTCAGACTTGTGGCTCTAAATTATTCCTCATTACTCAAAGTTTTTTACGGATTTCCATAAATTAGCTTTATAAACGATTGCACTTCGAATGCTATTCATTCGTTTATTCGATGTAATATTATATGGACAAATTTCTAAACAATCAAGAGGGGGGGGGAGGCAGAGTTCTATAAGACATAAATTTCCTTTAAATTCTAAATCAGATATTTATTATATACATAGATGTATGTATATGAGAATTATACTGTGAATGTTTTGAATATTTTTTGTAATTGAAGATTTTGATCGGTTATGATTTCAGATTTAACATTTATATTAAATTACCAATAATTATAAAAAAGAAACTACTGACTTTGCTTTTTGCCCTTAGATGGCAGCACCAAGCAGATTAGACATGTCAGTTAAATTTGGAGTCTTTTAGTATCTGAATCAAAATATTTGAATTCGAGGGAAAAACTTCTATAAATTCACTAGAAAGAATATTACAAAAGTGTTTTGAACTTCCATTCAATTAATATCAAATGTAGAATAATTTCAAATCAAACAAATGTAGAGTAATTAGAAAACCAATAATTTTATAAATAGTGAAATAGCTTTAATGATTGATACTAAATAAAACATAATTTAAAATCACTCATGTTCCATTAAGTAATAGTGCAGCCAATAGAAATATAAATTTTGTGTTGAAATTTGGCAGAACTAAAAAATGGCCCAATCTTACGTTCCATAATTATTCTAAAATGTATGAAATTTTCCTAAATCCGCAGTTTTTCTGTTAAGCAGCTTTTATCAGAGATTTTTTTTTTTTTTTATCAGTTAAATTATTTTTATTGTTAATGCGTACATAAATGAAAAATGTAGCACTCTTGTCAGCTATGAGTTTCTGATGTTCACTGCGCACTTCATAATTTTTTGAATCTGTGATTTTAAGCTGCAGTTCAAGTTTATAAATTTTAAGCTAATTACTAATTTGAGAGCTCTTTGGAAGACGCAAGATTCTCTCACGATTGCGATTTGCACGACCAAATGAATTCCGATTTCGGATTTTTATATTCATTTTTTGAAAATTCATTTATTTGGATTCAGCAATTTGAAATTGACGTAATTTCCTCATAGTAGTTTTAAGCTTTAAATCATATAAAAGTAAACGAGAAATAATTTTGTGTTGTTTTGTGAAGAAAATCAAGAAAGTTTCCAGTTAAAGAATAATAAAATCGGCGAACATGGAGAGGAATGGTGCCGCCATCTACTGGTTTCAAGGATAAATGATTGAATGCCAAGGTTAAATGCTACGATGAACAGCTTCCGCGTCCTGAATCCCGACGTAATCCCGATATAGTGAGCTTCAAGATTTTCAATTCTTATGTAATAATGATTAGAACAGTTAAGAATTGCGAAATTGAACTTCAGAATAATTACCTCGCTTAAATGATGGTGATATATATTTTTAAAATTTCCAACGCAATTCGCAAATGGCACTTTTCTTCCCCGCGCATGCTCATAATTTGTTCTCGTTTTAATATTCTTTCCTCATAATTGAAATTTGCTTACAGAAAAATAAATTTTTAATTTAATATTTATTTTTTACACGGGTTTTCTAAAGTATTAAATAACAAAAGTATTGTAGTATTCAATGAGAGAATCTAATCAACAAATAAACTGGAATAATTGAAAGCCAAGTTATAAACAGTAAATATTGTGTCAAATTTTTAATGAATTTTTTTGTCAATTTTCGGACTACAACTTTACCGAACTTTCAATACTTTGAAGATGGGATAAAGTATCGAAATCCCAATTTTAAGCTCACAATTTACATATCGAAATAACACTGTCTGTACAAATAGCCATTTTTAAACTCCATAATTTTTATGCTGTTTTCTGCTATTATATATATATGTATATATGTTTCTAAATTTTATTTCATTTTCTTGAAAGAAGGTGCCATTGGCGAACATTTAAACATAATATTCAGTTTAATTATGATATTTAAAATGTGGTATCAGAACAGTAAATATTTAAATTATTACCCACAAAGACTATTTAGCAGTTAATGTAAAAATACAGAAAAATCTGTTTTAAAAGCAGTACTCAAAAACAAAAAAATAGTGTACTGAAAAATAACGTCGTAGGAGCATAATTATGATTTTAATGTACTCCATATGAAAATACTCCACGTTCTCAGAACTTTATATAAAAGCATTTAAAGGAGGTAGATATTATTGATATGAAACATTATCACATAGGAAAGCAGAAGCGAAAATGTACAAGTAAGACGCCATCTGCCGGTGCTTCAAAACGCCAGCCGGAGCGTCCTAATTGAAGCCTTGAATGTATCCGAAAAGGACTGTGCGTTTCTTATAACGCCCATGCACTTAAGCTTGCGATGTTCATGTGAAGAACGCTGCTGAATTAGGATTTCACATGAGCTATCAAGTGATGCAAGTTAAGTCTGCTAAAATGTCTGACGGCTGTCCCTTTACCAGGCTTTCTTCACAGATCAGACAGTTTCGACAACTTCCATAGTTAGGACGTGCACCTTTTTGATTCCTTCTTCACGTGATCAGGCAGCAGGTTCGACTATAAGAAACTCTCACTTGTCGTCAAGACCAAATTTGGGACCATTTTAGGTCTCAATTAGGTCTTGACGGAAGACTATCTTAATGATAGAAGGCTATCGTAACGACTGAAATCCAGCATGAACATCTTTGCATTAACATGCGAATAAGTTCGTGCCAATAGAACCACTGTACAAATGCATCGTGAAAGGTACACAACCAAACTTGTACTTCGGCCGCGGTGTCAAGTATGCACCACTGAGAATGGTCCTAACTTTGAGAAGTTGCATTTTGTGAACGTTTCGTTAATCATAACAGACATTTATGTTTTTGGTAAAAAGAAGACAAATTTTTCTTTCACTAATTTTTCTAAGATGTATTTTAGGACTGATTCACACAACAGAATTAACTGCCTGATATATTTTAGTACTATATTTTATTGGAACACGGTGCCTAAAAACAAGTACAAAAAACTATTATACAAATAGTATACATCGCTTATCCACTTGTATAATTCCGTGCAGAAAAACTCATTTATTTACGAGTTTTGTACTGAAGCCTGAACGGACCACAAATTCTCCTTACTGATGCTAGCTGCTGTTATCAATTAACCCTTCCCTACGTAAAACATAATTCTCTTCAGGTTATTTTTACATAGGGATGATACTTTAATATTTCTTACGACTGATATAGTGATCTGAATAACATTATCATTTTAGCTACGTAATTTAACAGATTGCTGACTTCAAATCTTCAAGGAAATAAAGCATAACATAATTTGACAGCAAGAGTGCAATTAAAAGCTACTCATATTGATTGCTAATATTAAAAAAAAATACCATTCGCTTGACATTTTTGAAAAAGTAAAAATGATTTAGCACTAGTTTACAAGCCTATTTTTATTCATAATACCAAGTTATTATCTAAACATTTATCCAATCATTTCTTTGGTTTCAATCTTCATTATAGTAATGAAACAGCAACGAAACACAGCAAGCACAAAAAATTAACAAAATAAACTGAGCAACAAATAACTAACAAAAAAAAAAAAATTCTTTGCATTTTTCTGCTACTTAGGCATTTAATATGGAAATTTCTTATAATTAATTAAAATACCAGAGTTCGTGTAGCACGCAAAATTTCAATTATGCAGATTATTTATCTCTTCTCACCCCCACTACCTTTAAGAAATCTGAACTCAAATATTTTCTAGTATTAGTTGTTTATATTGTGAAAAATAAAATTTCATAAAAAAATTATTAAATGAGATATTTTAATATTTTCCTTAATTGGGTATTCGAAATAATATTATGTGATTATTCGAATCTATTCTTTAAATGTAAAAAAAAAAAAATTCGTTTTTTTAAAAGTTTGATTTTTTTTTATTTATTTAAAGGGGGAACTGGTTTCTAATGAATGGAAATGTAGTTCAGTTTGTTTATTTCGAGTTAATCGTTAAAATAATATCTCAAGAAATCAAATATGAAACAATAAACTTGTAATCTTCCTTCAGATTGAAGAAAACAAAATATGAACACTAACCTTGTTGTCCTCTTCTGTCTTGGGTGTGTTTTCGAAGGCAGACAACCACGGTGAAAATAACAATGATGAGAACAAGCGATGAAACAACAACAGGTATGAGTAGCGTTACGTTCCGATGAAATGGAAGGTCAGCTTCGCGTCGAACTAGAGCAGGAAGGGACGTCGTTTCTGATAAATACATTACAAATAATTGTATTACAAAAAAATATTTAAAAAATAAAAATATATGTCAAAATTTCAAATCCAAATTCATCAGTGTAATTTGGTTTAGTGACACGGAACTTTTATAAACATAAAAAAATTCACTTTTATAAGACAGTAATTAATACTGTAACAATATAATAATAAATTTTGTAAGGCAATATAGAAAAAAATTTGTAACCCCTGAAAGAGATCTCAGAAATTTATTTTCAAGAAAATTCTGAATCATTTAATCATGGTTATTTAAACATTACTTGGTGAAAATCAATATCAGTGTAAGAAATAGCTATAACTGAACTGCATCTTACAATACAACTGCTGTCAACTCTTCGAAAATGTGACTGGACGGCATACAGTTTAAGTTAATCAATCAATTAAGACCCACGAGCACTAATTTAAATCGTGATTTCCAACTTTATTACTATCGGCATTCTAGCAAAGCATTTTACATAACAATTTTATTTCAGTTAATAGTAGAATTTGCTACTGCTTTTCGGTCACATACGCAATACTAGACTAGATAAATCTGCAATTACAAAATATTTCATCTTTGGTGTCATTGTTATTATATTTTTTGTGCTCATTAAATTATGAAAGCTATTGCTTTATAGAAATATTTTTCTAAGTAGTAAGCACTCTCTTTAAAAGACCAAACCGGATATATAATGCATATTTAGCGAGATTAACATTATCATATAGAACACGACTTAGGAAATCTTTTGACTATCCAGCTACATTCATGAAATCAAAAATTAATTTAGAATCCTTTTTTCATACATCCCGGTTTATGACAGCGTGAGTGGGGATTTTAATATTAAAGATATAAAAATGTGATGCAAACCAAACGCATCTAATCAAATAAATAAATCCATAAACAATTTCCAAGCATCTGTGTCTCTTTATGATGTCGAGATAAAAAATGAAATCAAGCAGTTTAAAGCAGGACAGCATGACCAAGCAGAACATCAAGCTGTTTTAGCAGGGAACTTTTCCTATGCAAATTTCAGTTATTCTTTATATGCAAACTTATACATGGGTTTTAAGTAGTTAGCAATTTAGAAATTTTATGTCCTATCACAGTGCTCACTTTATTGTTAGCGTTTTCTAGTAATAGTTTTCAAAAATAGATGCAATTTATACTGCATGTAAACATTCATTTGATTCATTTCTCGTGGTGGCGAATGGATCAGGACCGTTTTTTTATCAATTAATTAACTGAATATTCATTAAATCTACAACCCGTTAATAGCTAAATTATGTAACACTTGATGACTCTCAAGTTGGTAAATGAAATGGTAAGTTTTGATGCTATACAAATATTAGAGTTTTGCACTGAAGAAACATTGATTTTTTTTTTTAATTTAAACTTTAAATTTGTTTTATGGAAAATATATATAAAACTGGACATAACTTCTGCAAACCATTACATAAAATGAATCACAGACGTGGAAACACCTTAATATTAAAAAAAAAAAAAAATATCTACTTGAATATGCTGGTAATGGACAAAGTGCTTCGTCACTTAGAAATACAAATACTGCATTGATCAATCAACACGCAGAAGTATTAGTGCGTGCTTACCAATAGGCGATGCCATTGGCAATGTCCGAAATTTATATTCTCCTTGAGTCACGCCCGCCTCGCTATGGGCAGTCACCATCACGAAATAATCCCGATCCGGCACAAGTGGTCCCAGAATCACTTTATCTCTGTTTGCTGGTATCCGCTCTGGAAATGATGTCCACTGGGTCTGGTATTTATGTTTGTACTGGATGTTAAAATGTAGTATTGGACATCCACCACTTTGCCATCCGTCAAGATGCAAAATAACATATGTGGAATTTAATGTAATGAAAGACTGCTGAGGTGCTGGCATTGGAGCTGTAACAATATAATGTTGAAATATCACAAGGTTAAATCAATACATTTCATATACAAAATACATACATTTATGAATTATTCTTATGATCGAATGCTTATAAACGGAAAGAGTATGTTTTGCAATACAATGTTCTGAATATTAAATAAGATGTAGTTATCAATTTTAGCTGCTTAAATAAAAATATTCATAAATCATTTTAGTTTACTTAAATCAAATTATTAGGGCATACATACTTATTTTATATAAGCGATCTTATTATGAATATCCGTATTGACTTTACATAAAACACATTAAATAAGTTTGGAATATTCAGAATTGCAAAGGTAAATAATTTTGCGATCAGTTTTCTTACGTTGTACTTGAGAGCGCTCAACGTATGAGCATTTTTTGGTTTTCAGAACTGGTATTACAGATTTAAAACCGCTGGCAACGATCAAAATTGTAAAAGTGATAGTCTGCAATAAATTTATAGAGTCCCATGATGTAGACAAAGGTATCTTTTGAGAGATAGACAGCGCAAATTCTGTGTAATTGTTGCCAATGTAACTGGGTGTCATGTTACTCTTTACCAATGTAACTCAGGTAAACATTTCTAAACTGGCACTTAAAACATTTTTGTAATTGGAAATACGTACATCTGCAACCAACGGGGGGCGAAAGTGAAAGTTGGTTTGTGGATATTGTGAATATTTTTGCTTCTACTTACGTTAAATTTTTCAGCATTTGAGAAATAAGTAATTAAATATGTACATAAATAAATTATAAAAATTTGTTTTCTTATGAAATTAATTTTTTCACATTAAATACAAATATCAAAAAATGGCACTTTAGCAAATCATAAATTAAATGTTTAATAATTCCTTTAAACAATCATTTGGTATCATGTACAATACCTGCTCCTTTTGTTCTTGTAATAACGGATCGACTAGGCTCTCCTGTTCCAAGGCTATTAGATGCAGTGAGATTCATATGATACCTTGTACCACATTTTACGTTTTCCAAAGTATACCTATCCGCAGTACTCCTCAGTTTCTTGCTCTGCCATATACCATCGTCATGTTTATAATGTAAAGTATACTCTAAAAATAAGACATAATTATTCAAAAATATTAAAAGCTTAGTCTTATTTGTACTTTCATGAACTGTATATTTAAACTGTTGATGAATTTTTATAATATTAAATTAATTGTTTTATAACTTAGAAATTCAAATAACTATGCGTAATCAACATCTCTCGCGTCGAATTAATATATGATAGGTGAAAATTTAAGATTTAAAAATAACAAGTTATCAATTTGAAATCTAAAACGTTAATAAAAGCAAAAAACGGACGTACTTGTATGCTTTAAATATCATAATAAAATTAGAACGATCTGAAGGGAAAAAATAATCAACGTTAGATATCTTAAAAATTATTTTTATAGTTATATACATATAACTCAAAGATTTAGTTTGCAAGTAAGCCAGTTTTAGAATAAATCAGTATTATGTGTCCTTAGTCACAGTTCCATTCAATATTCATGCGGTTCACACGAAGAGTATACGCTAAAACAACACTGAAAGAGATTTCATAACAAAACCTTACGTAATATGAAGAACATATGATTTTTGTTATTCAAGCGATAAGTAAGAATTACTCATAATGTTGTCTATAAAACACTAATTTTTCAATATGATTCATTTGCGTTTAGGGTATTAGGACTATTAAAACTCTCATGCATCTTCCAACATACCTTTAAAAAGCGAATTGTTAATGTCTCTTATAGACTTTATAATCACTTTCCATGGCTCAAGATGATTGCTGCTGGGTTCACTGGGAAAACGGCATGTATTCGTTATATGACTTTTGTGAGTAAGATTAGTTGAATGAAAAATACACTCAACATCAAAAAAGGAAAAAAAAAATTGCATCCCTAAAGCAACATATCTGAATTAAATCAAACATATATATTCTTCATTGTTAGATAATGAATTCAGTTTCACATCTTCCATGCGTATGAGGTCAGGAAAGGCGAACTTATATGCCACACAATGAAAAGTCATCCCATAGTTCCTTAATTTTATTTTCATCAGCTCTTTTTGTGTTGACACTGGTTTAAATACTTACTACGCCATTGAAATGAGTGCGACAACGATCTGAGCAGTTCGTCGCATGTGAGAAAAGTCGAATCACACCGCTTTGAGGACTGCATGAAGACAGGTGATAATACTGTTTTATTTCGAACTATATTAGTCGGGAGGTAGCTATGAGAAAGGTGCACATTCCTGACATGTAGGTTATGAGAATCCTCTGCAAACGGTAGTTTAAGAAGATAAAACATAATCACACCGCTCCATATACCTGACTACGGATATTCAGATGAAGTAATCCCATTACTGTAGCATGCTACGTATTCCAATACCATTAGCACGCTGTTGCATGCTTCTGAATTACAAGCATGCAGATCATTACGACGATTACCTCTGCCACCATTGCAACATCTACATAGATAGCAATGAAAGAGCATCATGGATATATGGCAGCAGATAATCTTTAATGATGAGTCTCGATTTTATCTTGATGAGGAATGTGATATCTTGATGAGGAACCAACGCATCCTCATATGCAGACAGCACGTTTAAATGTTAACAATTATGCATTTAACAGCAAATTATGTTTTATTGTCCCGCTGTAAGTATCACGGTACGGGGGTGTTTCTCATATTCTGATCATTATTGGTCTTTATCACGAGTAATTTTTCACAGTTCAACGGTGCACTAATGATGTCTTTCGATAAGAGGCTCTGCTGTTTGAGAATGCCTTGCTTTAAGTTCTACTACAATACGATAACGCTTGCCGTCATACTGTTGTTATCTCAAGGGCTTGCTTTGCATCAATAGATACTATACCATGCCCAGCATAATAGATATTCTTAAAAGGAAATCTCTGCGATGTTATAGTCCGCTTTGCCAAACATTAATTTGTGCTTTTAAACCTACAAGAACAACTGGAGACAATCTGTATGGGATAAGCTAACATACGTATACGATAGGACCTTCAACCAATCCAAGCCGTGGCGTATAGCAGAAGAGTTAGAAATATTAGACAAGCCGGCTTGATAATATCATTGTTAACTTGTGCAATAAATATCTGACATATCAATCTTAGTTTTGATCATTCGTCCTGGGGTTGACAATTATTTGCTTTCCAAATTGACATTTATCATAGCTTTTTGTGATGAAATTTCATTGAAAGCAAAGAAAGTCAATTTTAATTTAAAAATTTATCCACCGTAATTAGTCGCATAGTTTCGTAATATTTACACGTGTAATTTCCCCCTAATGTTTTCAATATTTATTTATAGTAATAATGTAAAATGTATGCATAAGCAAGATTGCAGTTGGGGTAAATAAAAAGCATCATTAAAATTGATAAGTCCTTTAAAACATGTAAAATAATAATTTTAGTGTATCGACATATATTTAAAATGTGCTGTGTTTTATTTCCCCCTTCCGGCTTTCAATAAGCATTAAAATTAGTAGCAAAAGGTGAAAATTACGCGAGTAAATACTAAATTTCACTTTGTTACATGCTTTTCAATTTTTTATTCGCGCTTAGTGTCAACCAAAATTCATAAACAGTGCTGCCATCTGTTAGTACATTTCAAATAATGCAGCTTTTAGAGCTATTTAGATTAGAACAGATAATAATAATAATAATAATAATAATAATAATAAATTGTTGCTGTTTTATTTTCTTCTATATTTCGAAATTCTCTGAAATTTATTTGAAAATTACGTTCGCAAGAAAGATAATTTACAGCAGCGCGAAACAAATTCGAAATTTATTTTTTTGGCCAAATTGAAATTTAAAATTTATCCTAAGATTTTCTCTAGGTCAGCGGTTCTCAACCAGTGGCAAGCAAGAAAAAATAGGTGGTACACAGAAAGTCAAAGTATTTTAAACTATTAAATTTAAAAAATAAATAGCCCAACACCCTATATTTTGTTACACTTTAAACGAATTTTTGAATAACAAACTCAGTGACTTCAAAGCGAGCAATGGCAACACTGTACGTAAATATGAAACCTTTCATTATTTATTTATTTATTTTTAGCCCAGAAGGGCTCTTAATTTCCCTTTGGCATTTGCGTCGAAAACTTTAAATGTCCGTTTCACTTTTCAGGTTGTTGCCACCAAATATTATTGCCCTCTGCTATATTTAAGGAAATTAAGTAATGAGGAATCTGCATAAATGTATGTATGTTTCTCGCACTGTAATAAAACAACGGTGCCTAGATCCATCAAATTTTGAATAACGTAATCCACCCCCGATGTTTTATTATTATCGATTTTGTATTTTGTAATACTTTAACGAATTTTCAATTAAGAAACTCAACGATTTCAAAGCGAGCAATAGCAACACTGTACGAAAAATAAAATAGAATAAATAAATAAATAAATAAATAAATAAACATTTTAATCTCCACCGCGCGAGACTGTGTATCGGAAATACTAAGGACATGCGCTTTTTAATATTTTGTGATATTGTTGTTGAAATGAATTTAATGGTTTTTAAATGCGAAGAACATGATATTTAATAGATAAAGGTAACACACAAAACGTTAACAAAACGCCCCTTTGGGCGTAATATAAAATCTGAAAGCTTTCAGAAATTTTTTATTTTTTATTTTTTTTTTTTATTTTTTATTTATTTTTTTTTTTTAAATTCAGAAATTGAAAAATAATCATTGTAAAATGTAGAGGTGGTACTAAAGGTTTTCAATTTTTTGTTTAGATGGTACGCGTTAGACAAAAATTTGAGAACCACTGCACTAGGGTATTGGCACAATACAGTGAGCCTGCATTGTCCCAATACCCTCAGAACGAAACCGTTTGGACCATAAAACGTAAAATCTCTTTCATATGGCAAATTAATTATGCTCGTATCACTGAAATGTAACATTAGAATAAGTAAATTAAATTAGGATGAGCATGTTAATGTTAACAGTGTTTGAAATTTCTCTAGCTGGGTAGTGGTGCCATCTATTAGTGGCTTTCCAAAATATGTTATGCTGTGATTTTCTTCAATTTTAAAAATTAACATGGAATTTTAAAATTGTACCTTGTCTGTCATCGAAATTTTTGTTTCCACTGTTTAAAACATTTTATAGTTATCCCATTATTGAAACAGTTTTACTCAGGTAATTATTTAAGCTTCACTTTTTTCTTCCTTCATAAATAAAATTTCCTTATATGTAAATTAACGTAATCCAGCGTAATAAAAGTCTTATGCGTAATAAAATAACATAATTTATAACAATGATAATACAAAACTTACTTTACAAAATTTAAAATGCATCTAGTTACTACAAAACTAGTCAGCGAAACTATTTAAATATTGTTGGATTTTAATAAACGATGTATAACTGATTTTTCCATTAACCAACTCAAATTCTACCATACTGTATCATTACGTTACAATAATTTTCGAAAACTGAATCAAGGAATAACACTGAAGCAAATAGATGTGTTGTCATTTTGAAACAAATGATTTCAAAATCTTGTATATGTATATCAATATCTCAAGAAATATGTAAAGAATGGAGCATCCCTTAATAAAATTTAATTTCCATTGATCAGCACACTTATCACTGTCCAGGAACTAATAAATTATAATTCCTGTACTTATATAAACTATAAATTTCAGTGATTAATTTTAATTATATCTAGAAAAAATCCTATTTAGAATAGTTCTGTAAATTAAGATACATATTAACTCATTACACTAAAAATGCTTTAGATTAATAAATATTGATTAACACATAAAAATGAATACATATAAAGAGGAAATACACAAAAGAACTGTTATAAGTTCTGTAATAGCATTTTAATGAACAGTTACATATGCATACATACATTTCTCAGACTGAAAATTCTTATGAAAATGTGTAACATTAACAAGCTTGAATAATGAACTTTTCTTTAAAAATGAACTTTCCTTTTCAGAAGAAATGAAATGAAAAAAGTAGAGAAAATTTCATTAATAAATTTATTGCAGAAAAAGTGATAGTTCTTTAAAATTATAATACCAAGGTTCTATACCATCCAATTTTTATTATAAGAAAATCAATAACTGAAGAATTTTGCTCTAAAATTTACCTGTTATACTAGAGCGATCTTTAGGATCTTTTTCCCATCTGATGTTAATGGAGTTTGAGGTAGTGCTAACAACTTGTAGAATTGGAGATGTCGGAGGAGCTAGGGAAGAAAAATCAGGATCAGATTTACTTGCTAAATCTCCTAAAGTTGCTGATATATCTTTTTTACAGTTAAGAAATTTGAAAAATCAATTACTGATTAATAATTATTTTATCGCGCAAAATATCGATATTAATAAATACTGAATAAAAATGAATGAGAGAAATTAAACAGAACTTATATCGTTCTAAATGACAAGCTAACAGGAAAGCCCAGCATAATAATATACGAAAAAATTTTAATTCAAAACTGAAATGAAAGTAAATTACTTAGCAAAATAAAATTCACAATTGTTGAAAATTATTTGGTCTTTGTTAAGAATCAGTCGATAGAGTTTTCAGTCACGAACAAAGCCACATTTCCTGGTTGAAGAAACAAAACTAAATAAAAAAAATTAAAGTTGAAAGAATTAAGAAGTTTATAATAATTAAAATTACTTAAATGAGAAAATGTGAATACACACGAAAAAAAATACATACTAAAGGGAAGGGATTTTTAATTTCTTTTTTGTAGTTTTTCTGAGAAGCAGAAGGAAGAATTTAGTAGATAAATATATAAGTAATGAATATTTATGGAATTACTAAAAAAAGTTCTTAAAAGTTATTGAACGTTGTGTTTTCCTTTACGCGACAAACCACCATATAAAAATATTATTTATTTTTAGTATTTTTATACAATTACATATAAATCAATTCGTTATATATTTATTCATTTATTTATTTTCCTAAAGTATTCACTACTTGTATTTTGAATTATTTTATTTTATTTTATTTATGTAAGGGAATTACTAAATTAGTACAGCATATTTCGAGGAATTTCAAAAGCCTTGAATAGATTAAACTTGTTATATAAATCAATGATCGCCATCAGTGACTGTTGACTTGTAGATAACCATAACCGCAAAAAAGAAAAATTTTCTCGAATCATAGATGGTCGGTCATCTATAAGAAAAGTTCATTTCTTCTCCCTCCGTTTCAATTACATTCCTTTTCAGTTAATATTTAATTATAACTTTTAGAGCCAAGCGATGATGCTCCATTTTTTTCCTCTTTATTTTGAGCTAACTAAGTTAAAGGAGTTGTTACTAGAAAGCCTTCGTTACAGTTTGAATAACATTTATCTGCTGAGTTCTTTCTGTTTGCTACTTAAAATATTGTTTAAAACAATTGTTTGAAACATATCCAATATTTTAACGTAGCAAACATCTGCGTGAGAAATGAAAAAAATATGATAGATGGTGTCGTACTTGCCCGAAAATTTCTCATTGATCTACCTTCATTGGATAAGGGTTGTGGAGCGTATAATGTCAGAAAATGGCTACATCAGAATATACATACAATACGAATCATAGCAGACAAATCCTTTGTAAAGGTTTAGAAAAATAAATAAATGAAATAAAAATAAAGAACTAAATAAGTAAAAATTAAATTAAAAGAGGAAAGTGAAATAAAAAGTTTTCGGACGTACAAATTTATTCATTTCTCTTTACATCCATCGTATTTCATGGTTCAAATAATTTTAAAACAATATAAAAATTATTTTGAACTACACGGTCGAGTATCAGCAAACAGATAAAAAGTATAAGAATCTCATGAAGGGAATGGAAATACGTCGACTTCCCGCTGTGTTGAAATTCCGCATATAACACCTAACTCCCAAATTCTTGTTCATTCACATTCAAGGATTGAACAAAAACATTGCCGATAATGTTAACATCCGTTTATCGCTTATTTCAAATACCACATGTATTTGACGTATTTATATTGCACTTATCTTAAATGAATCATGTGTTCGTATAATAGCATGATCTATATAAAATATCATAAATAAAATAGCGAGGAAAGACTAACCAGCCGCATAGTACTGTGTAAGCCTTTCCCCCGTGACCTAAGAAAACGCTAAGAAAATACATTTTATTATTATTATTAACCACAGGCTTCTTAATACGTATGCCTTTATGTCCCTTTTTTCAATGTCATACACCTTATGGATGTACATTACATAGATATACAGTGCAGTTCAAAATTTCTAATGGCATACAATTGAAAACAGGCTTAAGCATTTCTTTATAAGAGTTTTCAGTTATCTCAAAAGCATTGTAATATTTTTATGCGTGTAATCTTATGTGGTCGCTGTCTTAGTCTGTGTCATAAATTGTTTACAAAGATAAATTAAAATGGATGTAGTTGGTGTTTGCAGACCTCGGACGGTAAGGAGAAAGATGACCACCAGGCCATCAGATCACTGTAAAATACAGCTAATTTGGTTTGGTTCTGGTCTTATGTGCAGGCCAAAAATAAGTCGTTCTCTGCAGTGGACCCTGGATAACGTTGTCACTAACACGTTTGTTAAATAATATATGAAAGCGTGAAAATCCCCGGCAATTTTACTCTGGAATGCGTCAGACCGTTTAGTAGGGAGAAAATTCAAAAGAAAGCTTCAAAAAACACATTTTTAATACTGCAGAACGCACTCTTAATTATTATTTGAAAAGATGTATTTTGCGCCCAGCAACGGAAGTTATTATAGCTTAAACTGACTTTCAAAAGTAAACAAATTGTCACCTACAAGGTATAGAAGCTAAATGATTTTGTAATAACTCTGTGCGTATTCCTTTATGTAAAACTAGCATCTATAAATTATATGCACTTATGGCATACGTAAATATTTCTCATTTGTCTACCATTCGTAGGATACGCAACATTTGAGGGTAATGACTAGCAAAGACCAGTGGATAATAAGACAGATTAACAGTAATTCGGGTCGGTTTCCATGCAAGGAGAAATAGCTGGATGTTAGAGATGTTACATGGGTTTTTCCGTATATCAGAAGAATATGGACCAATTTTACCCAGAAGTTTGCCACAATGGCATCCACTTCCATAGACAAATAACTCATGTATATGGGATTGATTAAACAAATATTTTCTGCAAGTACTGCAAGCTGTCGCGAAACTTCCAAACACTTTCCATTATAATTATTTAAATAAAAGTTCTTGTATGCAATGCACTTGGAGAATGAAATGCACATGCACTGTTATTTAAAACATTTTTTAGCAGTTGAACAAACGTGTTTCAATCAATTGCTGTTCATTATATATTTCTATTTCTGCTTTGTTTTGCTTAAGTTAGAACTGCTTCTTTCTACAGTTAAAGGACATTTTCTCGTGGGAAGACGGAAGCAATTTTGACCTATATTTATCTCAGATTTCCATTTTGGGAAATAGCTTATGGAATTTTCTTTGGTCTTCTACCGTATGATTTATTCTGAATAAACTTAAACAGTAATAATATTTTTCTTTCCCAAGTACTTCACATCAAAGCAAAAATATTATCCTCTGCTTACCCATATTTTCTTAAACAGTTTATTTTTAAGAAGCAAAATGATGTTTCATTTATTATTATTAAATATATTTCCCTGGCACATTTGCAACAGAATACATACATTTTACTTTTTAAAGGTATTTTAATAATTTAATAGACAAGCAGAATTTGTTCTGAACTACGAGTTTTTCAGTGTCTCTTTAAATAATAAGTCAGGATAAGAACAAACAGATGAATAATTTATTATTCATGATTACATGGCAGACTACAAATAACACACACACAACAATAAATAGCTAAAAACAGTTCAAGGAGAATGCGGGTATTAAGCAATTCCATCTTAGTTCTTCAAGTCCCACTCAGGAAAAATCTAAATCTCAGTTCAACCAACTGCTAAATCGGATAGCTGATTAAGAACTCAACTCTCTACCTTTCGAACTCTTATTTACATAATGCAGCACTGCCTCTGTTAGCTTCTTAAAGAATAGGAAAATAGGCTGGAAAAGAATAGGTTAAGGCTTTGAAAATGTCTTCTGGTGAATCCTTTAGGAAGTTAGTTAGCAAGAAATTGGCAAATGTCGCCAAAATTTCGACAGCTGTTGGCCCGTTAGGAACGAATTAGGTTTCTTAGGCAAGTCAGAAACGAACTCGCAAGTATCAAGCATTCTACTAGCTACTTCTACAGTTCAAATGCTAGTGCACTCAGAATTGTGATAGCTACAATTCTAGATAAGAAATAAACACTTGAATACAAAACACATGGTCACAAATGAGATGCATTCCGATGACCTCAAAGATCACGTGAATTATGTATAGCTGATGTAAACAAGCAAGATCATTCTTCCTCTTCTTCTCCACGTGCTATTTTCATTATTAAAGCAACAAATAGACAAATAATTGAGCAAAATGATACAAGATCACAACAATATAGAAAAGCAAAGATACAATACAAAATATTTTAAATTTTACAAGCATTTATAACAGTATTTTGCACCTTTTTCTTCGCATAATAAATAAATAAATAAAGGAACTACCTGTTTCCAAAGTAGTTTCAATGATGCTATCAGTTTGTGGGCCTGCTCCCGCAACATTGTAAGCTTTAACAATAATTTCATACTTCGTGAAAGGTTGTAGACCGGTAACATACGTCGACTGCTGCTCGCTTTCACTATTTGCTTCTACAGTCTTGTACTGAAACTTTTCTGATGAATGATATATTCTGTAGCCCACATGATATCCTTGTATTTGACCATGTCTAGCGTCTTCTCTAGGGGGCTGGAAAAGATTTACGATTAATGAGATATTAATGTTATTTTAGATTATTATGAGTGAAAACATATTTATTTTTCTTAATACTTATTATTTCAATAATTAATAACATTTCAGAGGTAAACAAGTAAATTCTGAAATTATTTCAACATATAACATTATTTCTTTTAAAAAGAAGTCAAATTTACATTTGACAACATATATCCAAAATTACGAAATGTTATTTTTAAATTTATAAAAGGATTTAATATTTGTCAGTTTAATATTTATTCAGTATCTTGTTTTAAATGCTATTAATGTTTTAACAACATGACTTTGCATTTATTTTGTAGTCACTATCAGACACAAACTGAGTTACATGCAAATAGTAGCACTCTGAATAGGTCAATAAAACAAGCGGAACAGTAAAGCTTATCAACAGGACTTTCAGCCGAATGTACAATGAGGGTTTCTCATAACCATCCAATCTACTTCGTAGCTGTATGATTCATAACGCATTTTGTTAAGAATGCAAATACGCAACGGTAACACATATATTCCAATTGATTTTACTATTAAATTTTGATTTCTAGAAACATTACACCGTAGACTGTTAAATGACGGTTATTGCATTTTTCTTAATTATCTGAATTTTAATATTTTAGTCCCCTCTTAATTCTTTTTACAGAAGAATTTAATTCCAGTTTCAAGCCTAGATTACGACTCTAGTATTACTACAAGCTCTAGTATTTAGACTCGGAAATTTATTCCATTTGTTTTATGTTAATAATTTTTAGAAATGAAATTTAAATATATTTAAGTCTTTTTCTCACTTCTTCGATATAAGAAGCGGCATTTAAGTACCATCTCGTCGACCGGCCAATTAGCGCGATTTAGCGCCAATTATGGATGACCGTGACTTAGAATTTATGATCATTTAGAATTCCGAATGACAACTGGTGATCGTTGCAGTAATGTCCGGCAACGGTTGACGGGATACTATGTAAATACTTAAAAAACTACTTTAATAATTGTAAGAAATTTAAGTATGCTATTATGAAATTAAATGCGGTTTAAATCTAAGAAAGTACTTTAACCATCTCATTAATCTGACAGGCTGTCATGTTATAGAATAAACTCTTGAATTTCTGGATTTATTTCAAACTAGCAAGCGTATCTAAGTATACATTTAGACATAACTTGAAATAAATAAATAAATACAGCACAAAATGCAATTTGAAAACTGTTATCTAACTTAATACGTTACTTGTTAGAATTAATTTATTTTTCAATTTTTATTTCAGACATGCGAACCAAAAAGATTTTGATTGATTTATAGTTCCTTTCCCATGCAGAAAATTTTTTTCAAGAAATTTTCTTTTTGACAGTTAATTACATTTTGATTTTCTCTTTGAACTTCAGGAACTAATTACATTTTTTTTTGCGTAATACCACATATAAGAAAGGACTGATTTTCCATTTTTAGTAACATCCAATTCTTTGTATTTGAGAAGTTTTAGGTGCTTTAAGTATTATTTTGCTCAAATATTTAATATTAAATTTCATTTGAAAATCATTTTTGAATAAGGAGCTTCACAAATACGAAAAAAAAAAAAAAAAAAAAAAAAACGGAACAGACATTTACATAAAGTATTTTAAATGTAAAAAAAAATAATAATTTTCATCTCAAATTTAGTATATTCCACATATATCATATTAAATATTATACTCTGAATATATAATATCATTCACCTTCAGTTTGCTTACTAAACCTCAATTACAATTTGGAAAATTTTCTGCATCGTGTAGTTGCTTTAGCTTCCATCTTTACTTAGGGAAACGGAGGGGCAGTGTTCCTTGTGTCAATAGTTCTATTACTTTTTCTTCAGGAAATTATCACTAATTTTAACTCTAATTTATGTCAATTATGTTTTGTATTCATTTGATTTGATCCATACATTTTGTTTGAGTTCTGAAAGGAATACAACACTAGTATGCTATAAATAGCAAACATTTCACTAGAATTTACGAGAACAGGCAGATTATCAAATTTTCAAAGTAGACAGATTATCGAAAAATTCGGATCAATTGGCATTGCTCTTCCCAGAACGGGCTGGCTGGTTGCGCGTTTTCGTGGTTTTCCACATGTGTAACGTGTTAACACGAGCCAGTATCCTTTAGAAAGTCTTCCACGAAGGCATCCCTCTCTTTCATGTAATGCCTTAGGACGGGACAGGTAAATAATATTAATTGGCATTGTGAAATAATATAAGTCACAGTACTCAGAAGACATGATTAGTTTCTTTTTTTATTATCATTATTTCTCATTAAGTAAAATTTGTATTGTACTGTCAGTTTGTAACATGGGATACTTAGCAATCTAGTATACGTTTCTGATGATAAAGCTGATGTTGTCATGCATTTATGGCTACCTTTCCCATAAAGGAGAAATTATGAATCTATTATTTTTTTTGACATCGTACTATTCTTTTCTTTCCACTGTTGGGAATAAGAAAAATAAAAATAAAAATTTAAAAAAAATTGTAAAATTAACAATTTCTACGCTTTTCAAAATTATCCTTGAAAAGATTTTGTCACTACTGCACAGCTCTTCACAACTTGTACACTACATTTATATGAAATACTTTTCATCTGAATAATTATTATTGATGTCTATGATTCAGCGTTAAATTATTTTCTAGGAAAGCGAATATTAAGAAAAAAGGATAAGAATTAGCAAATAAAATGCATTCTTAAAAATTTCACTAAAGAAGCACTTAAAGCTGCAAAATATAATACTGTAATTATATAAGATCGATTCTGCAAAGAACATAAACCTATTACAATCCATTACAATAATTTTTAAAGAAAAAAATCTTATTTAGACACCACATGACTATTGCACTGCTTATTAAACTATGCACATTTTGCTGCACTGTATTTAAACCTATTCTCTCGAATTATTCTAACTTAATTAAGAGATGCCTAATGGCAAGTTGAAAATTACAAATTTTGAAATTAAATATACCGATCAGTTTTTTTCGTACAGGAGTCTATTTTGTATAATTTTAATTTTTCATAACGAGTGTAAAATGTTGCTAAATATAAGTGTAGGTACCGGGAAGAATGCAGTAAAAGTTAGATTTCGTTATTTCCCAAAAATTAATGCTTTTTTTAAAATCTGACATTGCCAAGACTATATATATATATACATATATGTGTGTGTGTGTGTATGTATATATACATCTTTGGTACTGTTGATTGCAATAAAAATAGGAGATGCTCAGTTAGATGTTCCAGCAATCCCATATGTAAAATTTCAACGTTTATAGCTAATCCTTTTGAGCTGTGCGAGGTGCGTACTTATATAGGTACGTACCTATGCACGGTATTCATTGAAATTTATTTACAATCCATTTTACAATAGGTTTTGGACACAAGATTCCTTTATTCTATGCAGATGTCAAGCGAAAGAATAGTCATAATGAATTCGAGAATTGTCAAAAAGTGTATTTCCTTTGATGTATAATACCCGAAATTTTTCAACATTACAATACTTCCTTTAATTCGTACAAGGAAGTAAGAAGTAGTTATGGTTGATCAACTTTGCCTTCCTCCAAAGGTGCTCTGAAAACTAGGGTGCTTATAAGTGCGATTTGGAGCTCTGTAAGAATGTGAAATGAGAAAAGACTATCATTTCGTAAAACACGTTTTATTTTGTATACTATTTTGAGCTACGTTTTGGTTACGTAAATTTTATATACTGTCGGGTAAAGTTTCGGTATGGATATGTGATTAAAAGAAGAAATATGCTTATTAGCCTCCATTTTTGTATAATATGTTTACCGTATTTACACACACATTACACGCATGAAACTTTATGTCATCAACAGAACATAAGGAAAACCAAAAAGCAATACTTTTCTTCAATAATAATTTTAAAAAAATGCTTTAATTTTTATATAATGAAAGTACAATACTCAGTTTACCAAATGTGTTATATGTAAACATAATTGATTCGGTGGTTACTGATAAATTCATTTATTGACCCTGTAAATGGATTTTAAAGCAATATTAAAATAAATGTGAAGTTACAGCTGAAATTGAGATGCCTTTGAAAGAATATCTTTATATGATAATGCACTTTCTTCATATACGCACCCGACACTGATAAATTATATTTAAAACTAAGTACAAAGGAAGATTACATTTTCTGTGTAAAATATGCTTAGAATATCAATATAATTTTTGCTTACATGAGTCTGCTATATTTCCATAATTAACATAAATGTTACTTTTTATTATTATTTATTACTTTTTAAAATTATGTATTAAAATAATAGATTGGGATCACTCAGTTACCTTTGATTACAATCGGATGGATTAAGAGATAAATTTCAGTTAGTAAAGACGAGTTTAATATATAGTTACCCAGCAGATAATTGGTATTTCTCAAGTTATTATTACTATTATTACTATTAATATTATTATTACCATGACATTATTAGAAAAATCTAACAATCTAGAACTGAACTATCTGAAACCAAAACATTCTTTTCGTACATAACCAAATTAAATTCACCTAACATGTCAAGCAAAATTACTTCTAGCCTAAAGAGCACAAACAGAAATTGTTCGGAGTCCACTTAAAGAGAAAGAAGAACAAAAAAGACACCGCTCTTGAGAGCAAGAGCGCTTTTGCTTTTAAAGAAAGCCCTTCTTAAGATGCCTGTCTTAATCACTCGCCTCCGCCAAGATAATGCAGCAGGCAAGAATACTTCATTATGAGGAACCTTTGCGATGTTCTTGGGCATTAATTTGGAACGAAAAATGATTAAATTGAAAGCGTCGTGTGCAGTCAATCTTATTAGGATAATATTCTTTTGGGAGTAGTATCCGCAATATTTGGCATCCTTGTTATCCTAAATAGATCTGAAGAGATATGCCTCTTACCTGAATTACGTTTTCCATAAGGTGAGTGATATAAAAAATCGACGTATATTTTCACTTGCAAAAGAGTATTGACT